TGGGAGGGTGCCCGCAGCGCTGGGAGGGTGCCCGCAGCGCTGGGAAGGTGACGGCAGTTGTCTGCTGAGGGGCCTGGGGCGCAGGTTCCCTGCGTGGCCGTGGAATGAGTGGCAGGCTTCCAAGCAGTGGCCCAACACTTAACCCTCCCTATTGAGACTCGGGGGAAGACGGGGTGGTGAAAGCACGAAGTCGGAGTGTTTGCCACACCCGTTCGTGTTGAGAATTAACATTGCCGTTTGCTCCTTCTCTCGTGAAGGTCTCTTTGGTTTCCTCGTCCCGGCCGCCCTCTCCAGACCAGCCCTCCTCCAGGCCCCCGAGCCCCGCCCCCGCCTGCTCAATGTGCACAAATCCGTGCACTGGGTCACTAGTTCTTCTATGAAGAAGACCTTTTTCTTTACTTCATCAGCTCCTTGGTGGCTCTCAAATACAGTTTGTACAGGAAGGGCAGGGTAATGCTTAGATAATGATCCTTTTATTGATCCACCTTCAGAGTGATGACCTGGTACCCTGTCACCTTCCAGTACTGACCAATGAATTTTGTTTTTTCTTGAATATTATTATTAACTAGAGGCCTGGTGCATGAAATTCGGGCACTGGAGGGGGGAAGTCCCTCAGCCTGGCCTGCACCCTCTCATATTCTGGGAGCCCTAAGGGGATGTACAACAGATGGACATCCTTAGTGCTTCCATGGAGGCAGGAGAGGCTCCCACCAGTGCTGCTGCGCTCGCCAGCCGTGAGCCCGGCTCAGGGCTTCTGGCTAAGTGGCGCTCCCCCTGTGGAGCATTGACCACCAGGGGGCAGCTCCTGGGTTGAGCGTCTGAGGTGGTCAGTGTGTGTCATAGCGACTGGTCGTTCTGCCATTCAGTCGATTTGCATATTAGCCTTTTATTATATTGGATAACTTGTATTTCACCAAAGTATAGTTGCAATATATATGCTCAGTTATTCCAGCAGTTATATATGTGAGTAAAAAGGATAAAAAACCCATTGGTTGCTGTGCCAACTTTTATGTTTTCTTCTAAACAACATCGGCCCTTAACTTGAGGATAAAACTCTTCAGAGGCATATGACCCTTGGGGGTCATTATTATTAAGGCATGGATTTTTACATATTTGATTTGCTTTAGCCCATGACAACCTTTATTTATCTTTATGTCCCATGGGAGTGTCTTCAAATGAACTACTGGGTGTTTTTTTGTTTTTATTTATTTTTTTTTAGAAAGAGAGGCAAGGAGAGAGAGAGAGAAACATTGATCGGTTGCCTCCTGTATGCACCTCAACCAGGGATCAAACCCGCAACATGGGTGTGTGCCCTGACCGGACACAGAACTGGCAACCTTTCAGCACACAGGATAGTGGTCAGCCAACTGAGCCACACCGGCCAGGGCAGCTCCTGGGTGCTTTTACCACGAGCCCATTTGTTTTGAAAGCTTCTTTGCTTTCTTGCACAGTGAGAAATCTCAGGGTAATTCGCACATTTCCTGCCCTCGACCTGTAATCAGCCATTTCTTCACAGGGCTCTAGTTCCTTTTAGTGCGGATGGCTTTAGGAGACCACAGGCTGGTTGCCAGGGGTGATGATTGCTAGGTAGTCGCCTATCCTTGCTTTTAGACCTTTCCAGCACATATACCTAGGAAAGATGCTTTATTTTTTTAAGAGAAAAAAATAAATTATTAATTTACTGATATTTCCAGTTTAAATGTAGTAAGATAAATATTTTACTTTTTGGATTTTTTATTTGAATTTATTTTTCTCTTATACTGGATATCTTGGTTCATAATGATATTAACAAAATTATTTCTTTCCTTCATCGTACAATATACTTATAATAACTTTATTACTCTCCTTCAGAACAGAGGTTGTGATATACTGTAAAGATTGTTCTGTACTGTGTTTTTAAATCAGTGTTGTTACTAATAAGACTACCAAGTGCAATTTGATATCTTTGTGGGTTTTGTTCTTAGAATTTGTCCTATTACAGATGTAGAGTCAAAAGTCACTTGGAAGTGGAGTTAAAGTCACTCAAAATCACTTTTCTCTGTGTGGATATGCCAATAACCTGATATAAAATTTTGCTTGTTTCAGGTTGTTGTCTAGTTTTAGAGATTGTTTTATTTCCTTCTTTGTTTGATTTTGTCTTTTAAGTATGTAAAACATTTACATAGTTTCAAAGGCAAAATTGTACCTATAGGTACCTTGTCACCCTGTCTCCCATCTTGTTCCTTCCCCCAACGAAAATCATTTTTATTAATTTGTTACTTATTCTTTTGTGGGGTTTATGTTTTGTTTTTTTGGGGGGGTGTTAATCCTCACCCGAGGATATTTTTCCATTGATTTTTAGGGAGAGTGGAAGAGAGAGGGAAAGACAGAGAGAAATATCGATGTGAGAGAAACATATCGATTGGTTGCCTCCTGCACGTGCCCCGACCAGGGCCCGGGCGAGGGAGGAACCTGTAATCGAGGTACGTGCCCTTGACCAGAATCAAAGCCGGGACCCTTCAGTCTGCAGGCCGATGCCCTATCCACTGAGCCAAACCAGCTAGGGCTTTATCCTTTTGCTTTTAAAAATATAAGCAAACATGCACACAGGCTCACATATGTCCATATACATCCAGGCCCCTTTCCCACGCTGAGCTAACACCGTAAGTGCTGTTCTGCTCTGTGTTTTATTTCCCTCAGTGCAGACTGGTGCTGCCCGTGTTCAGTTACAGAGACCCTCCTCCCCCGCTGCTCAGCTGCAGGTCTGCAGCGTGTCTTGGTTACCTCCTGAGGGACACTTGGGTTGCTTCCGGTCTTCCGCTTCCATAAATGCTGCTGTAGTGAATGGCCTTGTGTTTCCGCCAGTGTATCTTCGTGGAGGTGGTGCAGCGATCATGGTTACAAAGGGTGTGGCCCAGCTGCCCACTGGAGGAGGGAAGCCAGGTGTGCCTGTGAACTCTGTGGCAAGGGCCGCCGTTGGTGGGAGGGCCGCCTGGTGCTTGCACTTGGCCCTTGGCCCTCCCAGAAATGTGAGGACACACCCTTCGGGGAGCCGTGGTTTCCCCCCTTGCGAATTCACTATTGCAGACTGGAGGACAGGGCCACACCTAAGAGTCCCGATGGCCTCACAGAGGACAGGATGCGGGGCGGGTGGTGTGGGGGGCCGTGGTGTACAAGACGGCCAGTGTCTGCCGGGGCCGGCTTTCCTTCCTTCATCATCGGGTCTCAGTCACCTCCTTCCACCTATTGTTCAGCAGCCACTGCTGCTAGGAAGAGCCGACGCTAACTCCCACATCCTCTTAGAACCTCTGTGAACGTCCTGTGGGTTCAGTTCCAAATGGGAGCCTGGAGCTAGGGAAGGGGTTGGCGGTGATGACAGGAGGGGCGGCCGTCTGCACTCCAGGACCTAGGCGCACAGGTTGCCCTGCACGGATCCTGTCAGGTAGTGGCGAGAGTGTGGCTTTGCAGATGTGCAGTGTCATTTCACAGCCAGCGTGGAGGTGAACTTTAGTCCCGGAGCTGGGCAGGCCCTCCACCTGCTGTGCAAACACAGCCTCCAGCCCACCCAGCGGCAGCGCGTGGGCCCGCAGGAGTGACCTCACCCTCCCGACAGCGCTGCCGGCAGCCGAGGCCCCTGTATCAGACCTCACACCTGGTCAGGCCTTGGCTTTTCCATTAATAAAATAAATTTCACACAAACGTCAGATCTGTTAGGAAAATCTCTATCTCTGCAATGTTCCTAGTCGTTGACTGCGGTGTTTGACAGGGTGGGGATACACTAAAGTCGGGAGCAAATAAAAAACGCACCAGCCGTGGCCGGTTGTGTGCAGGGCCACCGGCCCGCGTGCCCCTGGCTCTTCACCCGAGGACCCCGGGGAGGGGCCGGGCGCAGTCTCACGGAGGCTCTCTCATCCTAGGGAGTCGAGGGGCGCGCTGGGCGGCCGGGCCCTCTCACACGACAGCATTTTCATTCCGGAGTCGGGACAGGACCCCGCGAGGCCCGTGCGGGTGTTTTCCCAAGAAAACGTGTGTGACCGGATTAAGGCTCTGCAGGTAACCCCCTTGGCAGCGTCACCTGGTATGTACGGCAGATACAAATCGAGATGTTTTTAAGTCCCCGCTTGGTTTATTTGATATATTTTAAAGTACAATTGCGTGCACATCGCAACTTTCCCAAGACACGCCAGGTAGTTACAGCTGGATCGTGACTTGTCTGCGTGGTAACGGCTCGTTTTCAAGGTGACAGCAGAGCTGGCGGCAGACAGGCCTGTGTGCCAAGCGGGGAGACGAACCTCCCCGAACCTCGGCCAGGCGCTGAAACATCTCCCGAGTGAATGAATTGGGGCGGGAGGGTTTGTCGATAAAGTCGCTGATGAAAACAAGAGCCAAATGTTCTTTATTCCAATCCAGTTAAAAATACAGTGCAATGTGAAAATGGGGCCGCCACCCGCTCCGGGGGGGCTGCCTGCCAAGCGGGGAGATGACCCCGGCATGAGTTCTGAGGACGACGGGCTGCCCAGGAGCCCCCCAGAGATGTCCCTGTTGCACGACATCGGTCCCAGCACAACCATCAAGGCAAGTACAGCCTGCGCCCCGCGTGTCCACCGCACCCACCATGGAGGGCAGCCGGGGCTGCGGTGGTCCCCGTGCGAGGCCCGTGGTGGGTGGCCGGGCTCGGTGCAGCGGGAGGTCTCCCAGCGCAGGTCACTGGCGCCCACAGCTGGCATTTGTTTTCACTCTTTGAGCAGAAATGCAGTCTCACTAGGCGATAGGGTCTGGGTCGCGTGCTTCATGATGGGAGAGATCTGACACAGTGGGCTCTACCTCGTCTTTCCTGTCCGAGCAGATGACCAGACGGGGAGGAAGCACCTTTGTCCCGCTCTCTGTTGGCCTGACACCGGGCTGGAAGGAGAAGGGAGTGGTCAGCATAAGTGACCTAGTCCGGGCGGTGGCATCTGAATGGAGGACAGTGAGAACCGGTCAGGCAGGGGTGGGGGCAGGGGCAGGGCGAGGCGTGGTGCTGGTAACGGGGCAGCAGAGAGTTGGCCGGCAGGAGAGGTGGCATGGCCTCTGCGGGCGAGGGAGCTCGTCCTGATGCCGCCCTCCCCTGAGAACCCACGGGGAGGACGGCCCTGCCTGCTGTGCAAACTGCAGGGCTCCCAGGCCACCCTTCCACCCAGGCCACATGCTTGTACATGAATGCCCATGTCCCCTGGCACACAGCTTGCTGAGGGCTGGGCAGAGGGGGGCTATTCGTGTTATGCTGGCACCTGGGTCCATCTGTACAGCCACACTCCCCCCGGAGCACCCTGGGAGCAGCACTGCCACCTGGGCCAGGGCTTCCCCAGGGAGGGCTCGGGTTTCATCGTGACTCAGAGGCTCAGAGCCTGTGTATCCCCCAGCCTCCGTGTCCCCCAGTCCCCCAGCCTCGGTGTCCCCCAGTCCCCCAGCCTCAGCAGCC